TTTTTTTATTTTACACTAACTTAGTATTTAATGTTTATCAAATGTGCTTTAATTTTATTTTCAAAAGTTAAAATGTCTGCAATTTCCGCTTCCGCTGTTCCATCTCTTCAGTTCAAAAACGACTTCATTACCGCAACCGTCACTGTTGCCCATTTCCTCTAACTTCCTCTTTCATCTTTGAACGTTTGCGCATACATCACACCGGAAAGTTCAAAAATAACATTTGAACAAAACCATAATAGTGTCCTTTAAATTACATTCAGCAGGTGACAAAGAGCTGAAAATTATGTCTTCTCACTTACTGAACAAAAAACACGAGTGAAGCGCGTTGTAGCATTAAATTATATATGCAATAAAAAGAAACATTTAAATTTTACGGTGGTTCAAGATTATAAAAATCCTGAAAATCATAAAATTAAAAAATCTTAACGTACAATTTACTACATTTCTCACAAGTAATAGCTTTTTTTACAACGCCATTAAATTAAATCTCTGAACAAATCAACATACACGAAACGTGCATTATCGTCACTGTACGTCACTTGAAATGCAACGCGCAATGTTGTCACAGTTAATCACGTCTTAGCGCGGTAACAAATAATTCCGGTCCTTCGATTGCTGCCTGCAGGCAGAGTCGGTATATCCAACGGTTCGTATGTATGCTCGTGTGAAACGGAATCCTTGAATAAGCGCGCGAGTGATATTAGGGATAGGGACGACGCTTAAGCGACGGTCGTAAGCGTGTATCTATCTTCGTCCGACCGTTCCTACTTCTACCCCTCGCGGGAATAAATCCACGTCCGTCTAGCTGTGAACTAGCAGAAACAAACGCGTGATAAATGCATTTGGGGGAGAGAACAGGACCCGCGTGAAAAGCGCGCAACATTTTGGATATGTATGAGAGCGTTGGCTGCGCCGGTTGATAGAGCTGCTGAGTAATTTTACTAAACTATGTTAATTAGAAACTAGATGACGCGATGTTATTTCCAACTCTTTCGCTAGCATTGCTATAATAAATTTTCGTTAATGAGACAAACGTGAAAAAAATGTAATAAAATTATTTTAAATTAAATATTTTGAATTTATTTTATGCAAAGACATACACACATACACGCGAGAATACAAACACACACGCACATCTGCCGCGTTAGTAAAAATTAATCACGATATTGATGAAAACCTTAATTACGACAGAACTTGAAGTATTTAATTAAATCATTTACACTGTTCGCCGCGTCCGTATACTCGAGACATCGTCGCCCGTTTTCAACACCGGTAATACGATAAAAGGGTTAAAAAGAAGCGCGCATCTAATTTGCATAGTCTGACTTTATTTTTATTTTTTTTTTGCTTTTTTACATTTGCTGCTTCCTACAATCTAGTTCCCGTAATGCGGGTGAAACGAGAGAAAGGAGACGAGAAAAGCTTCGCTTGGGCGTTCAAGACACGTCTTTGTCCTTGTTTTTACGCAAAAATACATTTGTTAAGTGGTACTTATTACTCACGCGAATTGCGAAATCGTAAATATAGAAATCTCTATAAAATTCTCCAAGAAAAACTTCAACGTGATTTACAAATTTACAATAAACAATTCACAAAATTAAATTAAAGCATACTTAAGTACTACCAATTAACTCATATTTATATAAGTGGTTACTAAAATATCCTTAAAAGAAACATAGGTAAATGTTAAAGAAATCTGTAAAATGATTAAAAATATGGAGTAAAGTACGGAACAGCGAGAATCGATAGTAATTTCACATGGGAGTTTTAGCAATTACTCGTATAAAATTGTGCATTCCTGCGCAACGGAAAAGTCTCTCGGATAATCTTTCGTCATTGAAATATAGAAATAGCCCAATTCTGATTTTTGCCCGTCTCCCGCCCCGCCGCCAGCTATTACGGCGTTCGTCATCCAAGGATATAGACTTGATTGGACCGTGTCGCACCCTCCGCGCGATTCTCCAACGGATATTGCAAGGATCGTGAGCATGCGGCGCGGGACTGGCTGAAATTCTCCTCCGCGGAAATGCGCGAACGGCCCGGCGTTATGATCGGGTCAGTCATCAGATTCAGGCGAAGGTAAGGGTGTTGCTCATGCTTCCGGATCGCGTTTGCGGCTGCACCGTGTCCGTGTGACGAATTGTGATCTGCGCAACTGCCATGTTACCGGTCAGAAATTGGGCCAGGGTCTCAACGCCGGTGCGGGCTCGACGATCGAATGGATAGCCCATCGGTCGCGCGTCCGGATACTTGCGGTCCCGCAGGCCGCAGTAGCTCGCCGCGTCCTTGCATCCAAGCGATTCATCCTGCTCCACCTATACGCGTCACCGCGTGATGGCAAAGCAATTCCTTTAGCGTGTTGTCTTTTTTCCCCTCTTTTTGGTTTTTTTTTTTTTTTTCTGCTCCGGAAGTGAAGTAGCGCGAACGCCTTCCCGTGTACCGGAACGTCGCCGTTCCGTTAAAAAAGGAGAAAGGAAGGGGAAAAAGAGAGAAAGAGGAAGGGCAGAGGGTTTCCATCACCTGACACACCGTAAGCTCTTAAGCGCCGCGAGAGCCCGATAAGTATAAAAAGTACTCACCGCGTCACCGGTGTAATCGGATATCATGATGAAGAGGTCCATCGGGAATCCTTCCTCCTTCCCCTTAGGTACCAGCATGTGCTGCGGCCAGCCGCACCCGCAGAAGTTGAACTGGTCGAGACTATCGCCGCCGATTGGTCTGTTCTCTTCGAGATTGCGGAACGTTCTCTCGAACGGTATAGTTACTGAGGACTCCGTTGATCTACGTTCGATAGTGTTCTGTCCCGGTTTCACTAAAGATAAGCAAGCGAAATGTATTTCGTGAAATACGATGCAAATAGTATTAAGGCGCTTAATCGAGTGGACGTACTTTTAAAATAGCAAAATATACTTATAAATTACATATATTGAGAATTCTGTGTGAAACAAAATTAATAACAGAAATCACATTTTTACTTTTTGACCGGTAAAAGAATAATCCTAAAATCTACAATGTTATAATTGTTATTAATAATATAAGAAAAAAAATTTTATTTAATATGTTAGCACTACGTTGAGTTAGAAATTAGAAATAATAGTAACAAAATTAGTTATAATGTTACTCACACAATACAGTGAACTTGTCCATTTCAATCATGAGCTCCTTCTGGTCTCTAAATACATAAGGCAATCCGCGTTCGTCCTGTCTAGGCGCCATGAATATACGAACGGTTCCTCGGCGTGCCGCGTTATTGCGATTGTTGGCGACGATTCTGTATGTAAACTCAGCGTGATTCAGATGAGTGAATCTGGCGAGAACGGGGCCACGCGGCGTGAAATCCAAGCCACGAGACAGATCGACGTCGCTCTTGGTCCAGAAAGTCGAGATCAGATTCGGCGATTGATTCGGTGTCTGCACTCTTGCGTCCGTGATTTCCACATTGGGGAAGTTTAACTAAAGTCCCGCGAGCGAGCAAAAGAAAGCAATTAAATTGTGTGTAAAGAGTCTTACTGAAGAAAAGCACTGTTTCCTTTCACAGCCTTTCAATCCGAGATTCCACAATGAATTTAGAATCGGCCTTTTCTCGGGTATTTAAACAAAAGCTTAATTAAGAGACGCGTTATACTGTAAATGAAGGTAATTTAGCACGTAAAGATTTAAGAATGTAAAGAGGTAGTAAAACTGACTCTCAATTAATTTCAACTGGGTTTTAATCCAATATTTAAGCCGTATTTCAATTATAAAGCTATTTAGAGTTTAAATTTAAAAGATTACATTAGCAATATCGATTAAATTAAGTTAATAAAATCTTTCTTAAAACAATCAAAGTTTTTTAAAAAGACAAAAATAGACACGGTGGAATGAAAAAATACCTTGCATATTATTCACATAGAAAATTAAGGCACCATTTAGTGTGTTAGTATTTAATGAAACCGCGTGCAAAAAGATTGATAAATTCCGACGCGTCCGACGATCTCGTCGGATTAAATGGTTTAACCGTTGGCGTTTTTATCGTCGGGTGGCTTCGCGTAATTCGGGGCCGCATGGCACATGTACTTAGCGGCATTATATACTGCTAGGGTGAACCGTTGATATATCGCGGAAGCGAGACAGCTGTGCACACCCACCTGCTGTAGGGTGTACTCGGGAAGTGTATTCTTGTGCTCCAGGAACACATCGTCGACGAAAGCGTGGTATCTGTAGAAGATGGGATCTCTCATAGCGGTGGCCGGTTCACCCATGATGCTGAAAGTTTCCTACAAGGGTGTGAAAAGAAAAAAATGTCTCATTTATCATTTTAATGTAGCGTGATTGTTTACGTCAGTTTTTTTTACGCGTGAAAAATATAAATGTGCTGAGAAGTTGCGTAGTTTTCTCCACCGGAAATATTACAGATGCAGAAAAATAAGAAAAGTAATGATTGTTTTATTGTTGAAACGTCAACAGTTTTTTTAAGAACATCTATTGGGCATTAAGAAACAAAAATTATTAAAATAAAAAATTAGTAAAAATTAATTTTAATAACTCTTAATAATTTTTTATCAGTTATCATAAATTTATATTTTATCTAATATTTTTCAATTATAGTAGCATTATGACGAAGCACATATCGCATTACCAAATAACGATGATCGGGATCGTGGCAGTAAGAAATGGCAACGTGACCAAGATTGTGAAGATCCCCATAGACATTCTGGTTAGGTGATAGGATGCTAGCCTCCATAATGTTACCAAGCACATCTACGCCACCAAACTCGGTCAAAGGCACCCTTTCACCGCGGGGGTTGATATAAGCGCCGGTATGAATGGCCTCGTAAATGCGATCGCGCCATCTCTCCAGGTCCTGAAGGTCAAAGTTCAGTTGATCGACGGGACGGTTGA